TTTCTTTCTTTCTTTCTTTCTTTTTTTCTTTCTTTCTTTCTTTCTTTCTTTCTTTCTTTCTTTCTTTCTTTCTTTTTAAGCTGAATGAAATTTTGACTACTAACATTTCTGTATCTGCCATTGCCCCTTCCTGAATATAAATCTAGTGAAGATAGTAATAAAGCTATAGCATATTTATTGGTAGATATTGCTGTTTGTTGTTAAGGGACAAGTAGATCAAATTGGGAGGTGTCAGAGCTTTTAGAAGAAAGGAGGAATCAAAAATGGAATATTATTGGAATTCCATTGGCCAGCTATATGGCTGCCTTTTGTCTATTCAAGTGTATGGGACAAAAAAGATTCAAATTGAAATACGGCTGCTAGCAGCTCATAGCGCTATGAGTTTATTTTGTGCTTTGTCAAAATAGTATCATTTATGACTATACAAATGTGTATGACTAATTGTGTAATTTTGAGTTTAATGAAACTTAATTCTTGAAAAATGTAGATTAAACTGAACAATAATTACTATAATAAAAGAAATTAATCAGTAATCTTCATATGCTGAAATAACTCTGGCCTCTAAAGTGTTCATTTTAAGTCTTTGAATAATTGTCAAACGTTATTCTAGCGAACACTCTGTTCCTCACAATTATGGTCTTAGAGGTTCTGTTTGATTGCATTATATATCAGTCCTCACAATGTCTGAAGTTTATGATCATTAAGATCCAAATAATTTTGAGGGCAACATGTTGAGAAGAGATACATAATTATCTAGGTTTGCTTTAGTATGAAGTAAAATTCAAAGTAACCTCACATTTTAATTTAAAAATATAAAGGTTTTTCCTCTGGAATTTCCCTAAAAGTGTTTTGATTTGAAAAATATGATCAACCTTATATAGTTAAAGAAGTTATTGTAGCATTTTTTTTTAAAAAAAGATATATGATCTACTATTTGATTTGCTATATTATGTGAACAGATTCACACGGAAGATTTGGGAGAGCTATACAAAATACGGATAGGACATAATAATTCTGGAGAAACCCCTGCCTGGCACTGCAAAGAGGTGACATAAATTAATACTATTTATTTATTTAGGTATATCTGCCACTCTAATGATAAATGAACTGCAAATACTGTAAACCCCTTGTTAGATTTGAAAAGCTTAGAAAAATGAAAATATCACCCAAAATATCAGTCATGAACATACTATGTGCTATATGATCAGAATGCTAGGATATAGAATGTTGCTCTCTGATTTTGTGATTGTAATAATGAAAATTTAAGGAATGGTCAGCTATTTGAAATACATGTTTCCAAATATATTTTTAAGTAGAGGCTACATAATGCGACACAGTATATAATATCAGTAACACTGAATGAGGTATCACATTGCATTATTGATTGTTTGCTTATGTCCCACCAAATGAGTGTCAACTCATAGAAACTACACAAATAATTGTTTTCCAGGAGGCTCTGTCTAGTGGTGGGATTCAAAATTTTTTACTACCGGTTCTGTGGGTATGGCTTGGTGGGCGTGGCATGGCTTGGTGGGTATGGCATGGCTTGGTGAGAGTGGCAGGGGAAGAATACTGTAAAATCTCCAATCCCTCCCCACTCCAGCAGAAGGTTACTGCAAAATCCCCATTTCCTCCCGATCAACTGGGGCTCGGGAGGCAGAGAATAAATGGGGGTGGGCCAAGTCAGAGGTGGTATTTACTGGTTCTCCGAACTACTCAAAATTTCTGCTACCAGTTCTCCAGAACTGCTCAGAACCTGCTGAAAACCACTTCTGGCTCTGTCCAATTTGATCTTTTAAGCACTCTGGTTGGAACTTGTAGTTCAGAGAGAGCATCTTAACATGGATAATCAACTTATTTCATTTATTGGCAATTAGACTCTTATAAATTATCCTCCCCAAATAAATATTTATGAACATCCACAAACACATACATACATACATACATACATACATACATACATACATACATACATGCATACGTACACATATACACACACCCAAACACAAATAACTTGGATACCATCCTAATTATGCTTTTAGTGTACAGTTAATATAGTGTCTTCATGAAAAGTTTTCACTGCTATAGAATGGAATTAATAGACTTGAAATATCTTTAGGGTCTCTTGAATATTTCAGGAGATGGAGTAAAAACATTTTGTTCACTTTGGATATGCAAAATACTGTTCTTAGAATTCTAAGAAGCACATTTATAGGAAAGCATGCATGCAAAAACACATGCTAACATGCTCATATACTACCAAAACAGCATGTGAAACCTTTGAATTATGTTCCCCATAGAAAAGTCATACCTGTAAAATGAGTGTAAAAAATGAGTCTTTTTTTAAAACATAAGCTCAGCAATTGGTCCTATCACATTGGAATGTGATAGAAAAACCTCTACTTCATTTCTGTAAAGATCTTAGAATAATCTAGTTTCAATTGTCTTTCAGCTGCAATTGCAGAATATTGTTACAGGGGAAAAATATGATTTCTCTGTTGAAAAGTGGCTGACGCAAGCTCAAGATGAAGGTAAAATCAGTCAGGAACTTCCTGTTTTGCATCAGGGATACCCCGTTCTTCCAGGTAAGCTTCCAGAATAACAAGATGACTGCTCAATTCTGCTCATTGAGTAATTTCAAGATATTTATGTGTAAGAATTTATGTTAAATATAAATTTAAATTAAATAAAGTATAACCTCTGGTCACAACCATAATTCATTCCATAACCTTGGTCGCAACCCGATTTGGTTGTGACCTGAACCTAATTTTGCAATTTGGTGCTTACAAAAAAAATGGTGCAGAAGGGAAAATCTACCACAAAAAAATATATTTTTGTGTGAATTTTTGGGTTGGAACCCGATTTGGTCATGGTCAGAAGCATTTGTGACCAGAGGTTCTACTGTATATAAATATTATATACATTTCAAAGACAATAATGCAACGTGCCACAATTAATACTTCCAAACTTTTAAATTCCATGATGATGCCAGACATATCAACCTATGTCTAGCCATTGAGACCATTATATACATAGATTATCTACAGGTTTTCAAGCAGCAGTTTTCAAGGACAGTGTTAGGAAAGGAACAACAAATAAAATGGATGTCTTTTATATAAGTCACATTTCACATTCTTATGCTTCATAAGCAGTGCACCTCAAAAAGACCATTAAGGTATCAATGGAAAACAAGGAGCAAGAGTAGCCAAAAGGATGAAAAAAACTGGAATAATACCTATATTAGAATCAGTTACTAAAAATTGGGGTCATCCATTGAAAGTGAATATAGAAGAGTCTAGATAAATAAGTATTTATACAGCCCAAACAACTTTTATTCCACAAGATATAGAGATTGCTACCAATGTAATATTTTGAGGGCTCTAAATATATTTCATGGTGGAAAACACTTAATAGTATATAAACATGATTAGCAATTGGGTTGGCCACTTAGGGAGAAGAATGATAAGTTAGTTATGTCTTTGGCTTGATACACAGCTTCGGACCATTTGCTTTGTCAGGCTTCAACCTCAGGTACAAACAGACTTTTTTATTTCTGTCTGTCCTGCCTGATGTGGTAGGAGAGATAGGTAACAGAGCAGGTTGCATTTTCCATAATCCAAGGAGTATTGATAAGACTTCAAAGAAAGTCTTCCCCAAAAACTGGAATAATACCTATATTAGAATCAGTTACTAAAAATTGGGGTCATCCATTGAAAGTGAATATAGAAGAGTCTAGATAAATAAGTATTTATACAGCCCAAACAACTTTTATTCCACAAGATATAGAGATTGCTACCAATGTAATATTTTGAGGGTGGAATTCGGCAGCGACGGAGTCTCTTAACCAGATTGCGCCACTACGGCCGCTCCGAGGCAGTGGATCCAGGAGGCCCCCTTGGTTCA